AAAGTGGCTGTATGAATTCAGTTTTAATCTGTAGATTTTTATATAGCACCTTTCCCAGTGCACTGAAACGGGGTAAACTTAACCAGAACAAAATCATAGATTGACATATTGTGCTCATTATATAATTTTATGCAGTAGTAGACATTTGAGTTGACAGAAAGCCAGAAGTGGAAGGTATGAGACAAAATCAGAACTTCCAAGGTGATTTGCCATCCATCCATCCATCCATACTGCTTCCGTATTGCAAGGGAGGGAGAAAAACATGATTACTGCTTTAATGCAGCCAGAGGTGACCAATGGGGGAGCTTCTGGTGTGATTGTGTCCTTGGTGTAGACCCGGCTAAATTCTTTCCTCTCGTGTTCATATGATGTTTGACCTGGGAATCCACGCGCATCTAGGCACAGAAGAAGGAAAGAAGCCCAGTGTGATGGCCTCTGTTTGCCTGAGAAATGCGCGGTGGTTCATTTTGATTGTTAGAAGAACGCCTTTCACAGTGTACGTATACTGTACGTTCATATTGGCTGCTCATGGCGCAACAGAAAAGATTGTTTTTCGCCCGGTTCCGTTTGGACCGTGAGTGTGGCTAATTCAGAGCGACGGTTTCAGCTGCAGTCAGACCGAATCCATCAGCCACACCCACGCATGCTGCATGCACGTGTGTGTGTGTGTGTGTGGGGGGGGGGGGGGTGCTGCATGCAGGACAGCGAGCGTGAAAATGCGAGTGCAATTCCGCATGGTGGCCCAACGGCCTGGAACGTCCCCATTTTGTGCCGCGAGTGTTTTGCTGTATGGCTTCGCTTGGAATTGGTGCGATCAGGACAGGGGTGAGGCCGGCTTGGGCTGAGCTGGTACTGGTGGGGAGCTGTCCGGAGCTGTGGGACCCAGAGTCACTGTGTGAGGAGATGGGTAGCGATGCGATCAACTACAAATCATTCTCTGTGTTGCAGTGACATTGCCGTAACGTCATCGGTTTCCATGGTTTATGAGAACCACCACTTTTTCGGGGTGCCCCAATTATTACGTTTAAAGAAGAATTAACTTGGTGCGATAGTGTGCTGTTATGTTTCAGGCACGTAATCCAGCAGTAAAATTACAAATTTGAACACCCCCCCCCCAAAAAAAAATCTGCTGAACACCCCTTAAACTTCATTTTTGCTAATGGCCCTGGTACCATGTCCACACTGCATAGTTGGAGGCAAATTGGCAGGTGGAAACCAATGAGAAAACAGCACGGATGAGGGGAGTGGCAATGAAGGGGGGGAAAATGTCCCAGAATTCCCTTTGGCAAATGTCTCAGGTGTACCACAGTAAACAGTTTGAAATCTGTTGTAAGGAGTTTTTGGGAGCCCCTCACTTTCCAAGGTATGAGGAGCTGAGATAAATATGCCTCTTCAGTGATGAACAGCTGTAACGTTCCTGTATTCTTCTCCAAAGCCAGTCTCCATTCCCAGTTCAATCCCAAGCCAATTGATTTAATTTGTTTAGTTATGGAGGTAAGACTGAAACCCTCATATGCTCATGCACCGAGAGCCTTGTTTGGCATCATGGAACACACACCCTGTTCATTGCATGAAGTGTTTCTTAACCCGTGTTAAGGGAGGGGGGGGGGGACACAGTGGGGCGTGGCTAAATTATGTGACAAGCCGAGTTAGTCACCTATTCCTTGTTCTTCCCTGTATGACCTTGTTTAGGGGTCTCCAGTATGACCTTGTTTAGGGGTCTCCCAGACCCCAGTAAACACACTCAGACCCTGTTCCCTCGTCACAGCTGTCACCCGTCTGTGACCCCGCGCTGTTTTATTTTGGTGGGTGTTTCTAACACCCTTGACCTCAGACCACTCTTTCATTTTCTTTCCTCTCTGCCACTCCCTTCGCCTCCAGCCCATCCTGATGTCATGTGACTCATTTCTTAACACCCAATATAAATAAGTGCTACAGCTCTCCAGTAAAAATAATCATCTCATATATCATTTAATTGCCCTTTTTTGAGCCCCTTTCAGAGTGTCTAGATTCTGCATGAAATGCACTGGCCGGCAAGCGCAGGGATTCCTGCAGCCCTCGTGTGCATTATTATTATTTTTTTTAATAGCGAGTGGGCAGCCTGGTTCTGCAGCTCCTGCGCATCTGCGCTTGTCATTCATCAGGAGATCGCATTTCATGCCTTTTAACCCCAGAACCGCTTTGCTTAAAAGTGAACTTATTCGCCTGAGTGGGCGGGAAATAAAAACCATTAGTGTCCCAGCATGCACTGCCGGCTGCAACCCCCCTCCCCCCCCCAACCCCGGGGTCTCGTTTGTCTACGTGTGTGTGTTTGTGCCAGTGGAACAACATCTCCAGTGTATTTCTGCCTCATTTCAACCTGTCAATACTTCAATTAGAGGCAGGCTAAGGGCCCTCGAGGTGCGTGTGGGGGGGTTTTATATTTTGCATGTTCCGTTCTGCGGGATTTGTGGTCTTCCAGTGCCGCATTACAGTCCCGTCCTCTCCCTGCGCACAGGGTGACCCGCTAATTAAAAGGCGACAGGATAAGCCGCTCCTGTTTTCCTGCCCGCGCTTATTTTGCTCTCTCCCCTCTGGCCTGCAGTCCCCCCCCCCCCCTGTGATTTCCCGATTTGCCAGGGAAGGTGTTCGGTTCAGGCCCTGTACATGTTTGCCTGGGTCGCACTTCCTTCTTTAAAGGTGGGAGGGGGGATGGAACCCCTCAGTCACTGGCCCTCGGGCCCCTCACCATCCCCCGGTGGGGGAACAGGAGGTGACAGGAGAGATGAACAGCAAGTAGATCATGTGAGACAAGCTCCCCCCGGATCTGAGGCTCTCTCTCTCTCTCTCTCTCTCTCTCTCTCCCTCAGAGTCTCATTATGCAGGACCATAATTTTGCTGCATATTAAAAAAATACATCAGCTAAGCAATTATGGAATTATAAAGAAGACTTTGCTAGCCTGGGGGGCGCTTCAGTGCAGCCCTACGCACACACAGATTAAATTGTACTGCGCTCTCACCGCTTCCAGGACCATTTTGGCAGCGGCGCCCAGCCATTATCAGAGGGGATTCTGGGTAGCAAAAGGCACAATATCGATCACGCTTGCCGTCTCGGGCCTAGCGAGGCCCCACGTGGGGGCAGCGTGCGCCTCCGTGCCATGCTAGCATCTCGTGTAATTTTGGCTTTGCGTATTTTATTAGCATGGTCGCTAAAACTGGCAATGCAGAGGCGCCTCGTTCCCGTGGGTGCACCAAGCGCCGCGCCGGCGTCGCTGTGGTGCTGTCTTTCCTCCAGCTGCGTTTCCATGGCCCCCGTGGCCCCCATATTCCCCCCGAAGCATGAAGACCCGTCTCCGGGGAGCAGGAACAAGACGATGCTAACGGTGTCGCCTCAGATCCCTTTTGAAAGTACGCCACAAATGTGAACGATCACATTTAAGGAAAGGAAAAAAAAAAAAGGCTGAAGGTGTTTTTTCTCCCCCCCTCGCTTAAAATTCCTAGTTGTCATGCAAAATAAATCAACGCTCCTTTTCCGTGCCGCCGTTTGAAACGGCTTTAGAGTGAATAAGAGATGAAGCTTAAATGTTCGCAGCCCTTAGTCTGACACATCCAATCACATCACGGCGCTGTCAGCCTCGCGAGAAGGCCGGCTCCTCCGTGCCTTTTAACCGGCTGCCTCAGAAAGACTGAGCACCCGTCTATGAACGTCTGCATGTGTGTGTGTATGTTGGGGCGGGCGGGGGGGGGATTTCACTTAATAAAAGCTCCTTGTTCTAACAATCATATGCTACAGGCTCAGCCACGTTTTCTCTGTAGACGCCGATACTTGTCAGCTCAGCTGAGGATGGGCTTTCACCTGTATTGCGTTGTGTACAATGCATTTTTACATTTGCTACATATGACTATTAGTTTGATTTGTCATGAGTTTACAGCGTGTAGCAGGTGTGTGTTGGTAAGAATTATATTCACATTTATTTATTTAACGGACAGTTTTATCCAAAGTGAGATTGAGAAAGAATGGGTTAGCCAGTCCCTGGAAGAATTGGAGTGAGGACCCTCACTCAGGGACCCAATGGGGACAACACTCTGTCAGCCATGGGACTTAATCCAGCGACCTTCCGCTCATTGGTACAGTGTTCTAACCCACAAACACTGATTAGTTTAAAGCAGCCAGTGCATAACCATACAGACAACACTCTGGGTTGTGGCCGTGAAGATGTGGAAGGTGGTTCTGTAGGTGTGTTCAGATGCGCCCTGGTAGTGGGCAGCTAGCTGCAGGCGGGACTCACCGCTGCTCTAATGGATTTCTGGGTGTGAGATTGGGGAGCTTTTTTGAGAGGGATAGTCGGAGAACGTCTGCCACAAGGCCAGGCAGAGCTTCTGGAAGGCAGAGCTTAATATAACAAATGATTTTCTGACATAGCCAAACGCAGAATGGAGTCAAGACCCTTCAAAACTTGGTTTAACCGGAAAGAAACAAGACAAACATAAGGAGAAAAACTTTGTGGAAGATCTTCTGCAATACTCCTCTCTCACATGATCCAACCGACCCCATATGATCCCAAGTAGGCAGTTAGTCCAGCCAAGTCCGGCTGGACTTCGTTAATTGGGTTACTTGTAGTTGGTCAGTTGGTCAGTTGCCTTGTAAATGCCAAATAAAACAAAATTCAGGCCTGTGTAGTTGTGATGCCGGTGTTTGGGATTGTATGGCATGATGATGATATCTTATATATTCACTCTCAAGCAGTCTCTTCACAGCTATTCATCACTATATACATTTATTTCAAAGCTTAACAATATTTCCGGAATTATTGTTACAAAAAGCTTTTTTATTATTACTTAATACTGATTAATTTTCATAAGTGGGTTTCAAAGAATGCTGAACCTGAGCTCAGCAAAACACCCCAACCATCCCACGGAAGGTAATTTTTTGAATTTGGTGAGACCAGAAGCTCTGTGTTCACTGTTGCATTCTGGGAGTTTTCCTGGTCTCCAGAAACCCACTCTCGCCTCTCCCACAGTCCCGGCCATGATCACGTCGTACCCCAACACCACGCTGGCCACGCAGGGCCAGAAGAAGGAGCTGAGCTGTACAGCGCATGGGGAGATGCCCATCATGGTCCGCTGGGAGAAGGAGGACCGTATCATCAATCCCGAGATGAGCCGCTACGTAGTCTCCTTCAAGGAGGTGGGCGACGAGGTCATCTCCACCCTCCAGGTACAGTGCCCTCACCTGGTCATGTAACTACATTGATTCCAGTTCAAGTAGTTCTTTGATTTCGCTTCAACAAAAGAAGAGGATCAAATGTTAAAAACAACGACAGACACAACAGACTATGCTTTGCAGACTATGTCTGGCAAATATTACCTCACTGGTGCATGCTGGGAAATGTATTTCTTTTGCCTTCTTTTGCAGATCTTGCCCACTGTAAGGGAAGACTCTGGGTTCTTTTCCTGTCATGCAATCAATAGTTATGGTGAAGACAGGGGAATCATTCAGTTAACAGTTCAAGGTAAGGAAAGACGCTATCGAAAAGGCGTATGATGAGACTCTGTAGCAAAAATGTTTCCAGCATCACCGATGATCAAACAAACATGTCTTTCCAGAGCCTCCGGACCCTCCAGAGGTGGAGATCCGAGAGGTCAGGGATCGGACAATAGCCCTCCGTTGGACGATGGGGTTCGACGGCAACAGCCCCATCACTGGCTACGACATCGAGTGCAAAAACAAATCAGGTGGGATTTTGAAATCCATCATGTCAGTTGATAATGTGGGAGTAACACCAGGTGAAAAAGTAGCATCCAACTTGAGTTAATGTCTTTATCATGTATCCAGAAACAAAGAGATACATGCAGCCACCTCACAAGCTTCAAAGATAGGAAAACCTGTCTTTGTAAATGCACATTTTATTTTAAAGTCATACAGAAAAAACAGTAATCAGTACAAAGTGATTGTGATGGCTTGTTTAAATAGACAAACAAAATTAGATAAATGATACTTGATTACTGCAATTTGTGAATTTCCCATCATAACATTAATCTGTTGCCTAGAAAGTCTTTTTTTAAAAAAACAAAAAGCACATTCAACAATATTGTAAACAGTAAAAATAATTTAGATGATGATCAGGTTTCCCCAGTTACTGAGGTTCATGGATGGTATTGTGCTTCCCCCTGTCCTGCAGCGTCCTGGGGTTCAGCCCAAACAACCAAAGACGTCTCCCCACAGCTGAACCAGGCCACCATCATCGACCTCCACCCCTCCTCCACCTACAACATCCGCATGTTCGCCAAGAACCACATCGGGAAGAGCGAGGCCAGCAACGAGCTCACCATCACCACCGACGAAGCGGGTAGGCCTCTGCCATGCCCCCCCCCCAAACACCACCATCATGACCGGTTTGAACTTGTGCTGACCGGTTTATGAAGTGAGCAGGTGACAACACAAGACCATCTTTAATGAAATGAGACATGAAGCCAACTCAAACTGGGGTTGTTCTGTAGCTATTTGCCATGCGCTTCCCTTTGATAGGACCACGTTCTACCTGAATAACCTGTTATAAATAAACAAACTTGGGGTAAAGGACTGATAGACAGATAAAGAAATACACCTCAAAGACCTTCTAGGCTCTGTACATAAAAATGTAACTAAGTAGTTTTTAAATGAGCAAAATAATATACTTTATTCTTACCATTAGTGTTCGACACTAATCTCATTAGTTGTTTTGTGGCTTTTATTCTTTGCATTACACTAGTTGCCCAAATTGTAGAAACACTTCCAATTTTTAGAGACTGCAGAACCTTATTCAACTTTTGCTCCAGTTACTTATTTAATCGTCCAGTGTATCATTTTACAAATATCATGCATAAGGTTGCAAAATTCTGGAAATTTTCCTGTTAATTCCCATATATTCCCATGGAAAGTTTCCAATTTGTAGTATTTCCAAAATTTCCCAGCTTATCTTCCCATGGAATGGAAATATTCTGCAAAGTTTCTGGAAATTTTCCATCCCTTTGCAACCCTAATCATGCACTGGACAATTATATAAGTAACTGGAGCGACAGTTGAATAAAGTTCTGCAGTTTCTAAAAATTGGAAGTGTTTCCACAATTTTGGCCACTAGTGTATATCAGGACAATTTTATCATTTTGGTATTTAAATATATGAATTGCAGTTAGCATTCCATATAATTATACCTATCTACTGTGTTGCTACATCGGTTTACTGATGCACAAAACATTTTCAGTCACTACAGTTAGGTTTTCTTCTCTATGGTGCTCTACAGCTGGTCCTCTGCTTGGACTTGACAGCAGCTCTCAGGTTGACTATATAAGCTGTCTGCCATTTGGGTTTTCAGTAATATGATTTGCAGTCAAAACAGCAATGCTGATAATAACTGCGTATTACTGAATGTCAGCGAGACGATTGTGGAAAAAAGTAGGAATGCAAGTTTTTTTCTCCATGTTTTTTACAGTGTAAAAATATTATAGCTGTAGCCAAGGGTGATGATGGAAAGTGGAGGTATTTATAAAGTATTCACAAGCCCCGATATAGAGGCGAAGTACAACCTACCGCTTAAAAGATAAGAGCCACCCACACGAAGCAGTGCGACAGACAGATTAGGCTTGCAATTTATAACTGGAAATAATTCTCCTGATATAGGCCCTATATTAATTTTTGCCTGGTAGTGAAGTATGTTTGTTATGGTTGCACTCGCCAGACTAGTCAGCGACGACTTCCTCCTCAGCAGACGGCTAAAGAGAAGAAAATAGCGGGCAGACAGACAGATAGTCGGACGGACAGATTGACGGCAGGGCGACTCCAAGTCTTCCCGTCCCGACGCGCCGTCGAGCGCCAGCTGACCCTGCGATACAAATCCCGGCCCTTTCAATTAGCGCCCGCAGTCATAAATGTCAGGCCGTATTGGATGCAGCGCGGCCTGTCTCTGCGCAGATAAAGCCGCTGTCGTTTTATGTTCACGGTGAAGTGCGGCTCTGTCGTCCGCCAGACTCGCACTCAAAGTATCCGCCTCTCTATTGATTAAACTGCCTATGACTCATCTTCGCCGCTGCGGAGTCTGTCCAGATATCCGTCAACATCCCCAGCTCAGGGACGATGTGCCAATGTGTGCACTTGCTGTTGTAAATTCTCTTTTCGCCCACAGTTTTCCGTTACAACTATGGTATATTATACATATTGTTCTGCATACAGAGTAAGAAACGTTTAATTGTTATCCTTCACGTTCTTTCTACGGGATCTGACAGAGGAATCTGTCATTATAAATATATATGATAACAGAATGATAAATAGATAAATATAATTATACATAAATAGAATTATAAATAGCATAATATAAATCAAGTTCCCTTATGCTATCTATGTCATATTTCCTTGGACTCCAAGGCCACACAGGGAAATTAAGTACAGTGGTGCCATCTTCTGGCAAAGTTGTAGAACAGCACTGGCTTAGCTCGGGTTTATGGTTTGTGATTCTGGTAAAAGACACCAGCAACCCTCCTTCAAGCTCTTGTCTTCTGGCCTTGTGATCCAATGCTTCGTTTGCAGCCCCCGATGGCCCTCCGCAGGAAGTGCAGCTGGAAGCCATCTCCTCGCAAAGCATCAAAGTCACCTGGAAGGTACCAGAATTCCTGTTACTTACACCTTCCGTTGGCCCCGTTACGGAGAACTGACCTTCACGGAAGGATGTAGAAAGTCCGTCTCCTTAGACAAGAACATACAGGACAGTCTAGATCACATTTATGTCATTTAAAGGGAAACCATCCAACATGTTGTGGAGTACCAGGTCGCAGGTTGGCTGGGGGCCTGTCCCAGGCAGCATATAGCTCAAGGCTAGGGTAACCAGATAATCCATGTCAGGGGGGGACACTTAGAGGTACTTAACACACACACACACACACACACACACACACCCACATAGGCTGAGCTCAAGATCCAAACCCAACCTTGGAATTGTGCAAAACCAGTGCTTCCCACTGAGCACCGTGTTACCCTTCAGAGGAAGTAAATATTTCTTATTTAATATAATCACAATATATACAAAACATATATATGTTCCCATGCCAAAATGGAACATGATGGGAATTGATGAATAGATTAAACAAGAAAGTGTCCTTTCCTGTCTAACAACTGGAACCTGTACTGTATAACAAAGTAGGATTTCTTGCTTAGCTGGATAACTTTTTATAGATTTAAGCTAGATTTAAGGTAGTCTGGGATAAATGTAAGTGAATGAAAATAAAGCCCATTCACCGCGCATTCTCGCATCTTGAATCTAGGAGGGCAAGCGCACCATCCCAGTAACAGGTATTGTGCCGCAATTCACAGGCCCCAAAGAAGCACCTGCAGAACGGCATGATCCGCGGCTACCAGGTGGGCTATCGAGAGTACAGCACTGGAGGCAGCCACCAGTTTAACATCATCAGCGTGGACACCACCGGGGACACTGAGACCATCACGCTGGACAATCTGAAGAAGTTCACCCAGTACGGGGTGGTGGTGCAGGCTGGGAACCGTGCGGGCACGGGGCCCTCGTCCCAGGAGGTCATCGCTACCACCTTGGAGGATGGTCAGTGTCTGCTTTCCCATCACAGCCCCCAGGCTGACTGCTAGACCAGGGGGGATTCTAGCACTCTTTTTAAGGTGGAGCCATAAGAGGAGCCATAATTCTTACAAAGGGGTCAAGTTTATCATTAGCCAATAATATGCTTTGAATGGGTGAGTGGTGGTGGGAAGGTACTTCAGGGGCCAATCAACTCTTGGATGGGGCCAGTTCCTCTATGGCCCCGCCCTTCAGTGGCCATTTTCTCAGGTACCCATACCTAGTGACCAGGACCTTCTTTCAGCTCCAGAATTGCATAAATGTTTAACAAACTTTAGATAAGGGATGTTTTCCCCCACAAAATGCTCATAAATTCCACGAAGGCGGCTTTTTCTGAGATGCTGGAGCCACCATATCTGACACCGTGGTCAGAATTGCTTGGATTATGCCTGCTGCCCATTCAAATGCTTAATCAAATAGTAGCTGAACCTCTTGACCCTGTTTAGCTGCATTATGTATTGAGTCTTTCATATGAATCACTGTTGAGAGAGAGACTCGTTTGTTTAACGAGTATCTAATGATGTGGACACTGAGTCGGTCACCATCCAGAGGTGCTGGACACCATCTAATATCCTGATACAGTCCCTCTAATTTTTCCTGTATGTTTTTGTCCTATACAATATAAATATATCAGTCATTTGTATGTGAAAATATTAACTTGCTTTGGTGGGTCACAGAAAATCCCAGAAGAGGAGTTATATGCACAGGTATAGGAGAGAGTTTGATAGTGGGGGGCACAACTGAGTAGTTAAAAGGCAAAGGAGTATTTATAGGGGGGATGAATGAAGCTAAATATAATTCTGGGGGGGTACACATACACCCTGTGCCCCCCAGTACCTACACTATGTCCCTGGTTGCATGAAACAGTATTTTCCCAAAATGAACTGAATATAAGCAACTCAAAAATATTGAAGTTTTATGGCCTAGATGCAAGTATTACTGACGTGATTTAGTGAATCAATGAATGTTACCTTTATATAGCGCTTCTCAAGACACCCAAAGTGCTTTACTGAACCAATGGGGAGTCACCTCAACCACCACCACTGTGTAGCCCCACCTGGATGATGCAACAGCAGCCATTCTGCACCAGTACGCTCACTACACAGTAGCTAAGGTGGTGAAGGGGCAGGAGAGAATTGACCAGTTTAATATAGGGGATGATTAGGAGGCCAGATTTGAAGGGGCCTCAGTGGGCAATTTTAGCCAGGGCATCAGGGTACCTCCTCTGTCAAAGCATGGCCATCATTTATGACCTCAGATGTCTCATCCAAAGGATGGAGCCATTTTTACAGCAGTGTCCCCATCACTGCACTGGGGCGTTGGGATCCACACTGACCACTGGATGGGCTAACCTGCTGGGCACAGTGTCCCCATCACTGCACTGGGGCGTTGGGATCCACAGTGACCACTAGATGGGCTAACCTGCTGGCCACAGTGTCCCTGTCACTGCACTGGGGCGTTGGGATCCAGACTGACCACTGGATGGGCTAACCTGCTGGGCACAGTGTCCCCATCACTGCACTGGGGCGTTGGGATCCACACTGACCACTGGATGGGCTAACCTGCTGGGCACAGTGTCCCCATCACTGCACTGGGGCGTTGGGATCCACACTGACCACTGGATGGGCTAACCTGCTGGGCACAGTG